TCAGCAGGAGCAATGTGATCGTGCCTATCACTTATTAATGCTACTGTAAAATCCCCTCTGACACTTCTTCAATTATGAATGAAACTTCGCATCTAAAATGCTGTCTTGCTGATGACTCACTGCGTAGGTAAATGAGAGAGACTCTCTGGCTAAACACAAAACCTCGTCTCCATGGTCCTTATTTCTGTGCTTTAAGATAACTTCAGAGACATTAAGGTTTCAGAAACTGATACACTGACTGCTGATGCTGTTGAGAATCTTCAGTCAAACACTTTTTTGTGGGGTAGGGGGATTTATTGGACTTTCACACAGCAGGAGGTACTGCTGGCTGTATGCCTGAGGGAGCAGAGTGCTTTTTTGCGAGTCCCCCATGCCTAGCAAACTACTCCTTCCAGCATTTGGAAGTTGAGTGGCTGTGCAGGGGAAGCACGTCTGAGTATGGGCAATCCCTGCTGCTTATAGTTTTCACTCTTGGTTTCTGGGTTTCCTTTTCCACCAGCTAGTTTCACTTTCTGCCTCTCATCCGACTGCTTTTGGTATGTATGCGTGGAACAAAAACTCTCCTCTCAGCCTTTGCTGCCTCCTTCACGTAGGTCGTTTTTGGCTTGGCTGCTTCAGGTTGTCCCTCTGGGGAACTGGGACCTAGGAGCAATTGAAGAGGTTGCTCGGGTACTTACCTGTTTCAGAGCCCAAGGGAAGTGTGTGTGCATCTGCACAAAGTAGATTAGACCACAGGGAGGCATCCTCCTGCTCTATGCCACCTGCCCTGCCTCCCCTCCCCCTGCCTTTTTTTTCTTTTTTTTTTTTTTTTTTTTGAACCAGTAATTGATACTTGTCATATGAAGTATGACATTACCTGGCAGATAAATTATTTTTACTCTGCCAGCTGATTTTAGTCCCCATGTAGCTCAAAAAAACATTTCAAGCTGCTTATTCTAGCAAAACAAGGCTTTTCCTGTTGTCCGCTGCACCTGGGGCTGGCAGGTGATAGGGTACCCCTGCCTGCCCCTGGAGAAGCAGCTCTTCATCTGGCCCCATGCTGAGAAGCTGGGGCCTGCCCCACCAACCTTTCATTTAGGATCAAGGCCACAGCAACTCATTTGTTGTTCAGGCATGGCATGTATCCTTGGGGATTACCCCCTCCCACCAGGTAGAGTGAGTGCAAAGCTGTTCTGACAGAGAGGTTTTCTATTATTTATTCGTACGTGCTCATAAGAACATGTTTGTGTTTCATGCGTCCTCATAAGAACGTGTTTATGGTTTTTGTTTGAGTTTCCCTTAAGCATTTGGGTATTGAAGTTTATTGTTTATATTAAGGTCAAAATATTTTTTTGTTAGAAGAAAAATAAGATTAGCAGAGCCCTCAATCTTTTCTGTTTCAGTGCTGCCAGAATTGTTCTGGAATGGCTGCTTCCTTTTTGGGTCTATTGTTTGTTTGTTTTGGGGTTTTGTGTTTTTTCATATTTGATTTCTGTGCTTGTTTGTGCAATGTGGTATCAGGAGACTGCCTTTCGTCTCCCATCATATGAGAAAGCAGCAGAGAAAAAGACTTCCTTTATTATGTGAGTTGAAGCGGTTACTGACTAAACAAGAGAATGATGTTCAGACAAAGTAATAATCTTTTAATTATTTGACTGCTAGCCACAATGTGTATGCTGGCAAGAATTTGAATTTTGATTTTATTAGTCTGGTTTTGTAAAGTGTTTTTACCATCTAATTTTACCTTGTATGTATGTTGTGGTACTGTCTTCTTGACTGCCACAGCTGTTTTATGCTAGTATGTGGCTTACCTTGATGTCAAGAGTCTTTTCTAATGTTTTATTTGATTTTCTTTTCTGCAAGTTCCTGCTACCAGCTAATGTTAGTAAATAAACCTTAGTTTGTTATTAGCAACTCTGAAAAATATCTTTATTCGTTACTGCTTTTCAAATCTATCTGGTTTTTGTTTGGTTTTTTTATCTGGACATTTTCACAGACCAAATAGGTGAAAACGAAACTAAATCACAGATACTTTCCATCTGCCTGAATGTGTTATTCAAACCATATTTTGGCAGAACCACTGGTGTGTGAGTATTATGCTAAAGTGTCTTACTTGGCATTCATTTTTTACAATGGTGATTTGGTATTGTATGGTTCACTTTGAACACACATAGTCAAGCGAGCAAACCATAAATATAAATCTTATGACCAGTAAATTTATTTAGGTTCAAATTTCACCTCTAATTCTTTCCTTTAATTTCCGCATCCCCAAAACCCCCACGAAATCTTGTATTCCTGGAATGAAACGTGCTGTAAATAAAGACCTGTATTCTTTCAGTGTTTGCAAGAGGTGTATTCGGAAAATGGACCATCACTGCCCGTGGGTCAATAACTGTGTAGGAGAGAATAACCAGAAGTACTTTGTACTGTTTACAGTAAGTATTTTGCAAGTGGCGTTTGAGGTTGTCCAGTGGGTAGCACTGAAATGCTGTGTGTGAAGCAGCTCTGAAGGCTGGCTGGCTTTTTTTTTTTTTTTTTTTTTTTCTTTCTTTCTCTCTATCTTTCTTTCTTTCTTTCTTTCTTTCTTTCTTTCCACATTTTACACCGTACTGTGGTTGGTAGGGTCCCAGGCTATATGTAGGGTTCCTAAATGTTGTAGTTGTGTGAGTACCTATGTGGGATCATATAATAAGAGGCCTTGCCACATCTTAAGCACGGAGTGGGAAGTCTGCATCCCCTTTGGCAAGAATTATCCACGTTTTACTTGCAAGTGGTTTATTTTCGTACTTGAAAACCAAGGAGGTGTTTGACTTCTTGTACTATATCTGTGGCATCACAAGTAAGAAAATAGGAGTGCAAACTTGAATACTACATATTTAAGGAAGGGTTGAAATCTGTTTCATCAAAGCGAATGGCAAATATCCCGTGGGAGTAGCATTAACATTACACGGCTGAGTTTCAGTGATGCTCTGTTTTATTAATAAATCTTGAGACATCTGTAGGTTCAAGGAAGTATGTTCTCATACTACCAAGTAAAAAGAGGCAGATTTTCAGTTAAATGGAAAGGCTTACTTAAGTTCTATGGTGTGGTTTGTTAGGATGTGGATTACAGAAAAAACAAATCCTATTTATTTCCCTTGAGCAAGGTTTTTTTTCACCATGAGGAGTGAGCTAGGTGTTTTAATTCTATAAAAAGGATTTCTGTTTCTCTTAAAACTGACATCTACTTTCAAGCAGGCTGTATTAAACACTTAGTGTGGCTGAGAGAAACAAAATAAGGGTTGCTGGTTTTGTTCTTGGTTGTTCTCTTTGAGACCTGAGGAGGTGGAAGAATAGCAGCGTGTTCAACTTGCAAGGAAAAACAAAATACACTCTCCTGTCACCTTTTTACTGCTTCCACAGGGGTTTCTTGTAAACAAAATCTCTCTCACTTCTAATATCTGCCAGCCTTCATCAGAGACTATAGGTTCAGGAGAGTTGTGTTTTTAGCCCTGTCTCAGTAAATTGTAGTGTATGTGTAGCACTCATATAGTTCAAAGCATTTTGTTACAGAGCTAAGACCTAATTTAAAACAAAAGGGATTAAGTACAAAGTCTTAAAGCTTGAGAGAAACTTTCCATGCCAGTGTCTGCCTCAGGGAAAAACACTTATTAAAAAAACCCAACATTTTTCTGAAACTCATGCTGGAAAATAGATAAAGTGCTTTTTGTGGTTAAAACAAATCAGGTGTTGTTTCTCTGGGAAACTGTAGTGCTCTCAAGAGCAAGGATGTAAGCTTTGACAACATGATACTTTGATGTCGGAGAGTTGCTGTTCTCTGGAAGTTGCACTGTACTCAGCAGAGATAAGGACGGTAAGCTGTGTGGAAGGCTGCGCTGGGGCGCAGGAGGTTGTGTTCTGTGTCCAGCTGGCTTTGAATTAAACAGTCTCCCTCCTGTGCACTCAGAGCTGTTAGGAAGGCCAGAATGAGTCTGTTTAGTCTTGGCATTTGCCAGCTTCAGGGTGCTTGTTTAGGGGGGATGGGAGGGCTTGGTAGTTTTCGGTGTGGTTTGTTTTTTGGTTTTGTTTGGTGGGTTTTTGGGTTTTTTTAAGTCTTAATACTTTGCTTTATTTAAAGTGTTTGGAAGATGTAGCATTTTGGTTTTTAAACTTACCTGATACACCCTATATTACATTCTTTATTTTTCAGATGTATATAGCACTGATTTCCTTGCATGCTCTAATCATGGTGGGATTTCACTTCTTGTATTGCTTCGAAGAAGATTGGACAAGTGAGTACTAACAAAATATCTCTTGAAAATCCAGATTAACCTATGAATAAGACCTTATAATGTAGTTTGCTTGTAAGGCAACCCCTTTTATGCTGGTTTCAGAAGAATGCTATCAGGGCTCTGCTGTGCTATCTCTATTGGGTTTTGTATGATCAATCCTGGAACTTCATAATTCTTTCTGACCTGCTGGGATCTCTGTCCTGAAAAGCCTGTTTTCAACTTAAGCCTGATACTGCCTAGGAAGAAGCTGAGATGTAAAGACACCTAGACGGTATGTGCAATAATCTACTGTTAACATGAATGCAGCACTAATTTCCTGCATGTCAACAGAAGATAAGAAGAATGTGTATGCTTTTTTTTAAAAGGGTAATGTGAATCATTCTTGCAAGACTGCCAGGAAAACAGGCTAACTCAGATCCAAAAATCCACCCTCACAAGAACAAACAATTCCTTTCCACAAAAAAAAAAAAAAAAAAACAAAACCCAAACAGACAAACAAAAAATGCAGCCCTCACTTTGGAGAAGCCAGCAAGTAAATTTTCACAAAGCCAGTTGAGATGTGTTTTTAAAAGCACAAATAGATATAGAAAATCCTCTAGGTAATGCTGAGTCAAACAGCAAGCTGTCAAAGAATGTGTATGCAGATATATGTGCCGCTTGTGGGGTTTTTTTGGAAGAGCATTAGCTTTTTCTTGGAATTTCGATTGTGTCATTCAATATAATGACCAGTTTTAGTTTACAACACTGCAGAGGAGGTGTACGTTTACACATATGAACTGAATTTACAGGGTTGTTCTGCAAATCAAAACTTCGTAAAACAGCTGCCAGCTGTCACTGAGAGCATCTGGATTTGACTGTAGTGGCCAGGGCCATAGGGGAAGGATACACTAAAACAGTTTTTTCCTTTGCCCGCTTTCTCAGAGCCTGTATCTGTGGGGGAAGCACTTTCCCACCTGTCCCAGGTTTAGGTGTCAGAACAGAGCAGTTATGAGAGATGGATCTGTTGTTCCAGCTGCCTTGGATTTGTGCTGATTGTGTTAGCCCCTGATTATGGTGTATCTGTTGCAGCTTAACATCTCATGAGAAAAATAGGGATTTTTTTGGTGATACTCATTCTTGGATTTCAGAAAAGTCTGGAGATGTTCTGACGTTTACAACACTCGATTCAACACTATGATTTTTGCCCTATGATATTTTCCTCCCTCTTCCTTTCTTCTGCTCCTCTTACAGTTACGTTCTCAGATTTTTTTCAGCTCTTGCCCGAGTTGAGTTTGCACTATAGAGTTATGAGGGAAAATAAGAATTTGGCTTAATCTGCCCTTCTTTAGGTTATGACTTAGAACAGTTATGTAAGGAAGCATACTCTGGTTTTGTGTTGGTGCTACAGAAATAATTATCTTTCTGTCCTGACCACCAGCTTGGGATTTCTAATGGGACTTTATAACTGTGGAAAAATCTGTTAACCTTAAGGTTTAAGAGAGAAGCTACAGGTGAGATGGAGTGGAGTGGAGTCCTAGCCAGTGTGCTGGGGAAACACCTAAGTGGAAAAGAAAGTTGTATTCTTGAGGAGTTGCGGGGGTTTTTTTGGTTTTACTTTTTTTTTTAAACTTGCAGGAGTGATCATTTGATTGCTGAATATCCTCAAGAATGTCAGAGCTTCCCTGTGCACTTTTTTGAGAATCGTGGTCATATAATTTATTTTGGCAGTTTTGAGTATGGAAAACTTGTGGCTTAGCAGGTGTTTTGCAGCTGCTGCATTACCTGATCTCTCCCCTTCCAACCCTGTTGTTTTGTCTTCACAGAATGCAGTTCCTTCTCTCCACCAACTACAGTGATTCTTCTCATTCTCTTGTGTTTTGAAGCCCTCCTATTTCTCATCTTCACCTCGGTTATGTTTGGGACCCAAGTACACTCTATCTGCACTGATGAAACGGTGGGTGTCTTGCTCTCTTCTTCACCCTGTCTCTCCCACCGTTCATATAAACAGTGAAGGGCTACGGGGTTTTATCTCATTGCCCGGGGAGTTCGCTTGTGCGTACCCTTTGAGGAAAGACCCAATGTAATCAACTGAGCTAGCACAGTGCTGGGTTGTGCTCTCTGAAGGTTACTGTGAGAAGCAGCGTGCACCTATGTATTGGCTGGGATGCTGTGTTGACAGTACCTCTGGTAAGGTAGGCATTGGTAACTGGGATTACTCTGTAGAGTGTTTGTCCCTGCGGATTCGAGAACCTTTTCCCTTTAATGAAGTGCTTTTACATTGGTATTGTCTGAAATTCAGCTGTGTGTCCCCTGGTGTCACTATTTACAGCTTTATATGCTGGAAAGCCAAGATGAGTAGGTGGGGGAGGGATAAACACACACGCTTCTTTTACTCTAGAAGATTTCCAGTTTTAGCTGCCTTTTAAACAGGTCAAAAACTCTTGCCAGAGGGAAAAAGGGAGTGGAGTAGGCTCGTGGAAACCTGCTGGGTACAGTCTGCTGCGAAGCTACCATGTTGTCCCCAGTCCAAAGGTGGCATAGTAGAGGTTACATAGTAGTGTTGCTGTCCATCATATATCCCTGCATTTGCCCACTTCTGTAAAGATGGAGCTGGTGACTCCCAGGGATGTTCCCACACTTGTGAATACTGCCGGCCTTCACCAAGCATGCTCAGATATGTGAAATAACTGGAGTGGTTGAAGAGAAGTGACAGTATTAAAAGAGTGACAACTCTTATTTCCTCCCCTGCCTCCTTTACTTTTCTTTCCCCTTCACTTGTTTGCCCGTGGCCAGCTGAAGCTAAAATAGGTATTTTTGCTGCCGTTGGAGAGCTATGACTGGCATTATAGACTGTAAGAGCCCATTGCTCCTCAGTCTTTTTTGCAGTACTTTTAATGCTTGGCTTCTGCAAGAGGCTGACATGCACACTGTGACTCTTCTGCGTTCAGAGGAAGACTTCAGCTGTTCTTTCTGCCGGGGAGAGCCCCAGGAAAGAAGTACATTGTCGTACAGAACAACAGGATCCTGCCAAGCTTGAGTTTATCAATAAGCGCGTAAATTAGCAATGCTGCCTGTGAAATCGTTATCTGAGTTTCTCAGTCTTTGAAATGTGTCAAGAATTTTTAGAAGCTGCTTCCTACAGCTGGGCACCCAAATAAGCCCCCTGATTTTCTGTTCCCTTCAAATTGTGGGAAGTCATAGATGTTAAAGGAACAATGCCACAATCTAAAACAAAAAAAGAAATACATTCTCCCCCTGTTGGGTTGTGGGTTTTCATTTTTGCTTTCTTTTTTAGTATGTACCAGTAAGGATTTTGCTCAGTGGAATGTCTCATTGTTGATTTGCTAGCATTGAGCCAGCTGTGTCTGGCAAGCAATCTGTTTTGAGCAGAGGAGTATTTCCAGGTGAAATTCTTCCTGGTGTGGGCTCTTGCAGTGTTTTACCTCATGTTTTACAGACAGGGCTGTGTCTTGCCCTTCCTCGCCTTTCCTCTTCCAGTCACTGGGAGACCTCATTCCCCATCTTGTGTACGCTGTCCCACCCAGACGTCTCTTTTCTGCCTGAAGGGACCCAGAACCCCAGCATTTTGCTGTTGTCTGTAGAGGTGACATTTACCAGGTATCAGCACTGATACACAACTCTTGCAGTTGACCCATGTTGTGTTCTGCAGAGCTCCCAGAATTGGTAATTTGAGAGACACAGATGTATTACAGTGCATTAATCTGTAGCACGGGAGAGACATGTAGGTCAGGAGACGCTTACCTTGCAAAAGATCCAAAGTTAAAGAGCAGAGTGATCTGCCTGCTGCTGCTACCCATGGAAGAGTAATGCTCTCCACTGGCTGCACTTGTTCATTTTGCTTCTGCGGCAGCCAGGCATAGCTTTCCTGAAAGGGCAAATGCACCTTGTGGGTTTTAGACACAATACAGGTGTTTATATTTTTGTAATGATCCACTAGTGAATGTTTCAGCTGGTTGCTTGATGGCTTGTTTTTGTTCTCCCTCTAACCTTTACTAAACAATGCCAATGATTCCTCTCAAATCGGTATCTTATTTAACCCTTTCTCCCTGCTGTCAGCCCATGCATGTTTTAGCAATAATTCTAATGAAACATGAAGAGGCACCAGGTAGACTCAGCTACACTGAGCCATGGGCATTTCCTGAACTTGCTTGGTGAATCTGGGAGCATTATAGAGATTATCTTTGGGTTTGTGGGTTGTTGTGTTTGGTTTTTTTTGTCTGCAAGCTTACAATGGTTTCCTCTAAAACTTTACCATCTGGTTAGCCCGTAATGCGTTCAGCCATTAAAGCACATATATTTTGTTTGGTTTTAGGTGGTGGGGTTTTTTTTAATTGACTTCAGAGGCAATTGGAGGGCAGGTCTTAAAAGGTTTATGAAATATGTAGGCCTGAACAAAATGAAAGTAATTTTATTTCCAAGCAGTACTTTCCATCCTTAATATTTTTTTAGTCTAAAACAGTGAGAAGGAAAAGCAGTATAGATGCATTATTTTTTTTACTCCATCCTTTGGATAAGGGGTAACTGAGAGTAGACCTTTCCCCAAATCCAGAACAAAATCTGAGTGTTTGACTGAAAATGTGGTATTTCTGTTTTCAGGGAATAGAACAGTTGAAAAAGGAAGAGAGAAGATGGGCTAAAAAAACAAAATGGATGAACATGAAAGCAGTATTTGGCCATCCGTTCTCTATAGCATGGCTTAGCCCATTCGCAACACCAGACCAAGGAAAAGCAGACCCGTACCAGTATGTGGTCTGAGGAATTCTTGACCAGCATTTCCACTAAAATAGAAACCTATTACAGCACTACTGTTACAAATTTTCCATGAATGTTTAAAACAAAAAGCAAAACAAACTTTTTTTATGTCTATTAAATGGCTGATAATGCAGAGAAAAAAAAGCCCTGTATTCCACAATTTTAGATAATTCTATATCTCTGGCTGAAACTGCTGCTGCTTTTCTTTTTTTCTTTTTTTTTTCTTTTTTTTTTCTTTTTTTTTTCTTTTTTTTTTCTTTTTTTTTTCTTTTTTTTTTCTTTTTTTTTTCTTTTTTTTTTCTTTTTTTTTTCTTTTTTTTTTCTTTTTTTTTTCTTTTTTTTTTCTTTTTTTTTTCTTTTTTTTTTTCTTTTTCTTTTGTTTTTTAATCTTGTTAACTTTACTGGCCTTTGTTTCTCTCTGCTTTCTGTATGGCATAACTAATGTGAAAGGGGTTCCTCTTTCTCTGTTGTGACCCACCTCTTCTGAGTAGATTCTCATGCTGTCTCCTGACTGTGATGAGCTCTGTGGAAGACATATGAGTGCCAACAGCCCTACACAGACACCTTTGGACTTCCTGAAGGAGCACATTGCTCTTTCATAAAGTGAACTTGAATGGGGAAGCAGACACTTCACTTACGGAAAGGTGCAAGACGAGACCACGACACAGCAAGAGAGCCAGTTGACCTGGTGATCGCATACAGTTCAAGTACTTAAAACAAATGTTGCCAACACCCATTCCCACCCCACCCTCCTTTTTCCTTCCAGCCGCAGAACCAATTCCATCTTTCTGGCATTATTTTGTCTGCTCCCTCCCTTGTGCGCAGGAAATTGTTGCCCTCTTAAGGTAACTGGCAGATTTAGAAGACACTTTGGATTATTAAATGCCTTACACTTGCAGGAAAGAAAGAAGTCTGACTTTCAAGTGTTTAGAATAGCAGAATCATCTTGTCTGTGTGTGTTTGTCTTGGTAAATGAGTTGTTAGAGCAATGCCTGCTAACCAGTGTTAATGTGAAAAACTGACATGAATGCCCAGACTACTGTAACGACTAATATTGATGGGATGTGTAGGTGTACCAGGGCAATCGATTCTATATTTTTAGCGTTGCCCTGGCTTAGAGCTTTGTAAATCCTATCTCATATTTATGCATACATGTGTTCGTGTGTAAACACACACACATATGTGTAAGCGGTTTAAAGTGGGAAATACTGACGGTAAGGAGCATGTGTACTGTTATGAACTGTGTGGTGATGAAAGCGGGAGGGGCAGAAGGCATTCCAAAAACGGGTAGAGCTAAGCTATTCATAACTACAACTGACATCTTGAGTTCAGGCAGGAATTTTATTATATTTTCACATCATGACTCCCAGGGGCTCATCAGATGAATTGCAAACAAAGGAAAAATACAAATCAGCTGTGTCCATGAATTCCAAGGAATCTTTTCTTTCCTTGGTTTAAAATAAAGTGGTATTTTTTTGGAAAACGACCTGTTTAGAAAGCTTCAAAGCCATGGGGGAAGGGAGGGAGATCGGGGAAGAAGGAATTTAATGGATGTCTCATTTTGGAAGTAATGTGAATGCTGCATCTTTTCAATCTGTCTATGCTTCCATATGGAAAACAAATGCAATAAAACTTTTCCAAAAACTTGTTTGCTGTTCTTATTTTCTTTCTTCTCTTCAAATGTTGGGAAAAATCTGTAATGGTTGTCTGAGCTTCCACTTCTGTATGCGAGCAGGCAGAAGCATGTAAAGGTTAATTAACAGAATGTTCAACTTTTGAGTTTAAAAATGAGTTAATGTGTAATATCTGTTAATCAGTGGGTTTGTTTCCGCAGTTGGAAGTGGCTGCTCTGCTGCATGAACAGGCCCTTTCTGCATCCCTGCATGCTCAGGGTGAGACGGTCGGGCGCGCGTTGTCATCTCTGGTGTGCAGAGGGAGCCGCGGGCTGCACTTGCGCCTCAGCGGGAAGATTCCGTGAGGGAAACGTGGCCTTTGTGTGTGGGTTTGCTGGAAGAGTTCAGGAAAAGTTTAGCTTCCATTTTCATAGTGCCGATACTGCTGATAGTGGGAAGCTACTGTAAATAAAGGTGTAGCTCAGGTTTTAGTATGCAGTGGGGGTTTTCAGAAAATGCTCCTGGCTTAATAGTTACGGGCTGGATCTTTGGGCAGGATCAGCTCAGCTGGTCAGGCACGTGCGGGTGTAACTTGAACCGGTAGAGAATCCGTCCCTAGAACTGTCTTGACGCAAAATCAAACGTATTGGAGTGGGGGGAGGCTGTAGCCACCTAGGCAATTAACAGATGAATGTGTATCTCTGTACAGTTCATTGCTTTAAAATTGTCTTGACTATATGTATGATATATATTATGGAAATGTATGAATTATACACATTCCACCGGTGCACACTCCAGCGTTGCTTTATTTTAATTACCCTTTCTCACTCTGCATTTTGGAGGAAGATCGGTTACGTTGTTCTGGGATTTTGACCATTGTGAAGAAACGTGTGGTTACTTGGTTTTTCGTGTTTCAGACAAATGCAAATTGTTAAACAGCACCACGTAGTATTGATATTTTCTGTCAGACTGGTTTCATTTTAAACGAGGCGCCATCACAGCTTGCAGGAATGTCCCTTGGTACCTGCCGTGTCTCTCTCCTCGGTCTTTCTTGTGCTGTACGACTTGGTGGCCCAGTCTGATGCCATCTGAACGTGGGTGGAGAGGAGCATGAGAAAGGCAGACTTGCCGCTTTGCTCGTGGGAAGTGTTTTCTCAGGCAGGACTACCTGATTTCAGGTGCTAGTTCTGTTTTAGCGTGGCCAAGAGAAATTGAAGGACAAACTGGAATGGCTGTAGGGAAGGTCTGCCTTCACAGTCGTTCTTTCCAGTGATGCTTCCCATGTTGTCTTCTCCTCGCTGGACAAGCCGTTACGATGCTTGCCTGTTCTGTTCGCTCTTTCCTTTGGTGTTCTAAAAGCGTATTAAAAGACACTAATGCGTTTCTCCTGACACGTGAGAACTGTCCTGTGCGTTGCTTCTGGGCCAGCCCAGCCTCCTCCCCCGGCGCTGCGTGGGAGCAGGTACCGAGGGCCGCGGTGGGAGAAGCGGCGTGTGTCCTGCAGCATCGCGGGGGCAACAGGACAACCTCCTCCTGCTGTCCCCGTGGTCGCAACGTTGGGCCTCTTACTGCAATGGGAGTGCCCAGTGTTTTATATTTCTCTGTGCACGTCTTCTCTTTTCAGTATTTGTTCAAAATCATGTAATTTGGAACAGCAAAAGATGATGCTTTCTGAGTGTTGGTTTTGTTGGTTTTGGGGTTTTTTTTTTAAGTGAAGTAGCTTGATAATGGGAAAGAGAAACAGGCGTTGGTTTAATTTCAAATACAAGATCCTCACTTTCTAAAATAATGATAAGAGTTTTAGGGGTAAATACAATTTTTTTTTTTTTTTTAAAAAAAAAAGTTTCATTGAACAGTAATGAATTTCTTCAGCAGTTGTGCATTCCTTCGACACCCCACACCCCTCCCCGAATTTTTTTTTTTAAATTTTTTTTTTTTAAGGCAAAACCTCATGCCCTACTGACCGTGGAGCCGGCAGCCAAAATAAGACCAGGGTACAATTTTTAAAACTTCTGCTCGTTTTCAATGTGTGCCCTGAAGAGATTAGTGAGGTCAGGCTGGGAGAGAGAAAGTATGCCCCTGCCTGCGCTGATTAACTGCGCCCTAATCGGGCATTAGCGCGACCTCGGCCTGACCCTGCTCACCGCTGCGGTTAGCAGATGCTCTTCAGAGCAGACGAATGAGGGGTTTTGGGGGGAGGGAAGAGAAGGGTTCCTGCCCAGAAGTGTTCGAGGTCCTTATTCCCGATTTAGATGTCAGCACGGATCAAACCGAATCATGTGCATGCCCAAGGGCAGGGTTAAAGCTCGTACTGCCAGGGAAGGGTTTTGGTACTTGGTGTCTGTTTCTCCTCCTGCCCTTTGCTACTCGTTTTCCTTCTCTCTAGATACTCACACAATAACTGCTGCCGCTGCTGCCGTGATGGTTTGTTACTAACGCATTCGAAACCCCTGCAGTTCTCTAAGGAACGGCTGACGACCAAAGGTCTTCCTCTGCTTTTAAGCTGGACCAGCCGCAAGGCGCTGGAACCGGAGTATCCCGGAGGAAAAGCGCGTGGTAGTGCTAAAATGCTTTGCCGAGGCTCTGCTCTGCCGCGCGGAAGCGCTGCTCCTCTCCCGGCTTGCCCGGCAGGGAGGTAAGGACTGGCACTGGCCGCCACGGCACCGAGTGCCTGGTCCCAATGGGCCGGAGGCAGCGCGGGATTTTCCCTGGAACAGCGGAAGCTGCGCATTTGGCAAGCTTGGGAGCAGCGTGAAGGGACACGCGTCCCTGCTTAGCGTTGCAAGATGCACATTCGTGCTTTGGGGCTTGAATTTTTCCCCAAATTGCAACCCTGAAGGCTTCAGCTTCGGCGTTGTGTCATTTCTTCCTGCGCATTTGCTGCTGGATTTCTCCTAAGGGCAAGAAACGGGGTGTGAATGAAGCTCACAAAAGTTTTGCATGTAATTCTTTGGCTTATGGTGTGTTTTTTCCCAGGCCTGCTCATGCTGACTCACTGTTACTGCAAAACCAAGCTGCTGCTGTATTAAAATGTCGTGTTATTTATGAGGTTTACTGCAAGCACAGCTGCAGTGCCGCTGAGCTGTTGTGCGTATCGTTTCCCGTCTCCCTGCAAAGCTTTGAAATGTTTTGTGGGTCATTAGGGAAACCTGGCAGAATTAGAACGCGACCAATGTATTTTTCATCCAGCCCTCCTAATGCTGCTCGTTTAAATTAATTTGCTTGTTTTTCCTTTCCTTGAGTGTCTCAAAACTTGGATCCAGTATCCTCGCTTCTCTAAGAACAGAATTTCTGTGTGGTTGCTTATCTGTCGTCTTGAGCATATCGTACGCAGCTGTAGATCTGGCTCCTCTCTTACATGATGCAGAAGACGGGCATAAAAAAATTACACCCTCTTTCACGTAGCAGTAGCCTTAAAAAAACCCAAACCCCAAACTTACTTCCTTTTTTCTACATGGAGAAGACTACCAGGAAAAAAAAAAGTCTCTGCCCAAATTGATGGACCTGTTATTTAAATACAATCAAACTGCTTGCTTCAGTGAAAGGGATGTGCTTGGAGGGAGAATGAATCAGAATATTGACTGACCAAGGCTCCAGTCCTGCTTTGAGACCTCCTGCGTTTTTCCTTTCCTTGAGTGTCTCAAAACTTGGATCCAGTATCCTCGCTTCTCTAAGAACAGAATTTCTGTGTGGTTGCTTATCTGTCGTCTTGAGCATATCGTACGCAGCTGTAGATCTGGCTCCTCTCTTACATGATGCAGAAGACGGGCATAAAAAAATTACACCCTCTTTCACGTAGCAGTAGCCTTAAAAAAACCCAAACCCCAAACTTACTTCCTTTTTTCTACATGGAGAAGACTACCAGGAAAAAAAAAAGTCTCTGCCCAAATTGATGGACCTGTTATTTAAATACAATCAAACTGCTTGCTTCAGTGAAAGGGATGTGCTTGGAGGGAGAATGAATCAGAATATTGACTGACCAAGGCTCCAGTCCTGCTTTGAGACCTCCTGTTCCACCTCTGCGGATTTCCTCGCCTCCCAGCGGGTATCCAGCTTGCGCTGTGATTTGCCTTTGGCAAATTTGTTAAGTGGCAATTGTGGTCTTAAATATTTGCTTTTAATTGGCATAGAGTAAGCTTAGTTTTACATCAGCTTCTAGTGACAAGCCTAGGTGTGGCTGTGGTAAATTCCTGACCACTAGGAAAAGCTGCAGTATTTTGCCTGTATCTGAGCTATTGTAAAAGTGCCTAAATAAGGTGAAATTTTAAGTTGTAATTGTATTTTATTACTCCTAGAAGGGATGCAAAAAGCATCGGGATAAGAGATGCGCGTTTCCAAAAGGGGTGGCTTCTTAGAAGTTGCTAAAATCTATAGCAACTCATACTGAAATAGGCCACTGAGATTCAGATTGTCCTTGAATTTGGTCTTGGGATAGGGTTTTGTTGTTAAATTTGGGGATGAAGCTCTCTGTTACACAGGACATCTGTCTTCATTGTTCGCTAAAACTCAAATAACATCCGGGTTGTAGAGAGGCAGTTTTGCACACGCTGCAGCTGGTGGTGCACGAATACCTGCTATACACGTGAGACGACCCAAACCTCTTCTCTTCTTGCAGGGTATTGAGCGTCTTAAAAATCAGAAGCCGACCTGGGAGAAGACCAGTGGCTGGGAAGGAATGAAGCTGGCGTTTGGTGGTGCTTTCTCCTTGGGGTGGTTCAATCCCTTTTCGAACCTGAACTGCGAGAGCCCGGCGCCGGCCGAAGCGGCGGCAGCAGCTCCTGCGTCTGCAATAATGACCCAAGAAGAAATCGAGCAATTTCTCGCTCAAGACGTTGCTGTCCAAGTGTTACACGAATAAGCAAAGCATCCTCCAAGATGTCAAGAGCAGCTTTCAGTTTGTTTGTTTGTTTGTTTTTAACAACTACTTGTGATGGAGATTTAAGGGGTTGTTTTTTAACATACTTTCAGTGCGTTAAAAAATTTGGGAGTATTTATCTGGAAGCCAGGTACAGCACTAGCAGAAGCAATGCAAATCTCCAGAGAAAGCTTTCTAAGTGATGAGATTCCTAAGCTCCTTTTCGGACCCGCGACAACTGCTTTATTGAGCTTTTCTTACTTGGCCTTTAAGGAAAGTTTCTAATTGTCGGCAGATTAGTCCCAGCTCCCAGAAATGAGCAGTCCTAAGGAGTCCGGTTAATCTTTTGTTCTTACAGCCTTTTGGGGGGCTAAAAGATGAGCCCTGCACCATGGCCAGATTAGCCCAGCTCTAAAGGTTTTCTTGAAAAATGACGTGTCCTTTTTAGCTCATCCCCTGGATGCTGCCTCTGGATTATGAAAGCTGCTGATGCTCGGGTCTTAGCAGAGGTGGGACGCCGGGCTATGGATGCAGCAGATGGGCGAGCTCCAAGACATCTCCAGGGGTAAATTTTAACCTTCTGTGTTCATGGGGCTGCCCAAGACTGGTGGTGCTCGGCTGGGCAGTGTTGGAGCCGGTGGCCCAGAGGTGGTGCCGGGC